TATAAGATCTAGAATTACTTCTACTAAAAAGAAGTATATAACTATATATTTCTTTTTAAAACTTTTCTAATTCTTTCTAGTTTTATCTAGTAATTCTTATCTAGATATATAACTTTATACTAGACTTTCTTTTTTTCTAAGTCTAAGTTCTTATCTAAGATATATTATTATTCTTATTTATAAAGTATAGATACAACAGCTGCTATACTTATTAGTTATATAGTAGACTTAAGGGGATATTAGTAGATAAGATTACTATTCTATCTATATTAAAGACAGCACTCTACTTTATATCTTTTCTATATTTTACTAGGTATTACTTATTAGGCTTGTTTCTAGTAACTATTACTGGTTGTATAGGGGTTGTGTTTTTCTTACTATACAGCAGCTACCTAAGTGGATTTCTACTCTATTGGTTCAGGGCTCAGTTTCCAGTATACTAGCATAGTCTTAGTGTGACTTCCCTTAGATAGAAAGGATACTCTGTTTAGATTATAATTCACATAGTATAGTTAATTACAGTAGTCTTTATATATAGGCTCTTAGGGAATCCTAACCAACTTCTTGATAAGCCTCTAGTTTATAGTAGTATCTAGTATAGTCTTCTTTTACTTATCTAACTAACTATATTCTCCTGCCTATAGAAGTACTTTATCAAAGTTATTTAAGAATTCTTCTAGTTCTATTCTTTCTTATTTTATAATATTTACTCTGTTAAAAGCTTTTTATTATATATTAGAGTCTTTAAAAATCTTATCTATTACTAGTATTAGATCTTTAAGTTATATTATTTCAGTATTCTGGAATTTAATCTAAGATAGTATCTATTGTGCTGCTCATCCACATAGTTAACTATAGATATAGAAGACTTATTCCAGTCTAGTAGAATAATAGTTTCTATTAATTATAAGCTTTATATATATATTTAATTTAAATAGTTTATAATTATACTTATCTTCTCTGCTAAATAGTTCCATATCAGGGTGCCAAGGGTAAGGCCTGAAATATGGTTTATATAGTTATAATAAGGGGTTCCCTCCTTATTTACTATTAATAGTAGAGGTTGTACTATGGCTCTATAATTTATTTATTTAATCTTTAAAGACTATTTTCTATTTTACTATTTCTATACAGAGACTAATCAGCTCCTATAGAAGAAGCTGTGTATTGTTAAGAATAGGTATAGATACTATAGTCAGTTATAGTTCTTCTGAATCTATTTATCCTATTATTCTAGTAGTTTTTATTCTAATTATACGCCTAGTTAGACTCTGTCTAGGACTTTTTAAGAAGCTATTTCTAATATTATAGGATAAATAGATTATACTAAACAAAATATGCCTTTGAATAAGAAGAAATAGCTGAAAAGCTATTTTATCTATTTATATGAAATTCTTTTAGGTATATATAAACTAAGCTAGTGCTAGTTTAGTATATAGTATATAAGGCCTCAGGCACCAACTGGTGCCTGAAGCTGAGCTCTATATCAGGGCCTTAGTTCTATAACAGTAGAAGGCCTATCAACTAGATAAGGAATTAACTACTAAAATACTATAGATTTATCTAGTAATAATAAAGATAGCCTATATCTATAAAATAGACTAATCCTTAGGGGATTAGTAGCCTTCTACAGAGGAATCAGTATCTTATAGGTATTAGGAAGATATAGATTTACTATTAATAATCTTATAACTAGTATATAAGAAGTATATAGCTAAACTATAAGTAATTTACTATAGCTATAGGAATTACCTATAATAATTTACTAACTATAGCTACTATTATTTTATAACAGGACAGCCTAGCTATTCTAATATAAATACTACAGAGTTATTTAGGAGTAATATTATTATATATAATTATTCTTAAAAGCTGTTATAGGACCAAGGCCTTAATATAGAGCTCAGCTTTAGACACTAGTTAGTACCTGAGGCCTTGTATACTATATACTAAACTAGCACTAGCTTAGCATATACTTCCAAAAGAATTTCGTATAAACTAATAAAATAACTCTTTAGCTATTTCTTCTTATTTAAAGATATATTTTAATTAGTACAATCCATCCATCCTATAATAAAAGCTAAGATATTTTAACTACTTTTTATTATATTAAGAATTCAGCTTCCACCAACTTTAGTAGTATAATAGAGAATATATATTTTATCTAGCTTAATATACTACTAGTAGTGATTTGTAAATAATATTAATATAGAGTTTAGTCTAAGAAAATTACTTATTATTTAAAGTAACCTACCTATAGCATCCCCCACAACTAGGCTATAGTAATCCAGAATAATATTATACAGTGGGATAATATTATACTAGACTCTAATATAGTATTATTTCCCACCCAGCTCTAATTACCAGTTCCCAGAATTCCTGTTTTTACTAATAGTATACTGTGTTGTTGAGAATATGAATATAATTATATTATATAGATAGTAAATAGCATCTAAACCTATTAGAAGAAATTCTATAGATAATTATAAAATCTATACTAAGATTAGTTAACTCTGTAGAAGCAGATAGTTTATAAGACTGAATTTTAGTAGTTATATAAAATAGTAGATTATCAGTATTTATTTCCCAGCTGATTTAGATTATATTATATTTATATTAGTAGGGACACTGAGTTGCAGCTATTCCCTGCCGACCAGGGTGATCAGATAGTGGATACTATACTGCAGGCATGGAAGTATACCTAGGCAGTGCAGAAGTAGTAGACTATCCAGGCTAATCAGATATAAGATGCCAACCCATGGCTGTAGATAACTAAGTAGATAGTATATTTACAGAATATACTGCTTAATTAGTTATTATAAAGTATAGTCACACCTGAGGAGGAATCCCCCAATCCTATAGAGCAGAGTATAGCATAGATTTAGAATACTATAGAGTAGGTAGTCTAAAAGAGCTAGTATATAGTATAATACTACAGGCAAGCCATCCGCATTAAAGCTGTATAGTTGGAAGCTGGGCAGATACTATACCAACCACTACAGCTGTATATAGATACTACCAGCATCACCAAACATATACAGCCGTAGCAGCAGATTTTAGGGTTTATTATATAGACCCAGATACTACACGAGTAGCAGAGCCTACAGTACGGATTTACACCCTAGTAGTGGAAGAAGTGGCAGATGATATAACAGCTAGTAATTAGCCAGGCTAGCAGCCCTGATTCTATAGAGACGGATAACAGAATAATTAACTAGACAATAGATATATTTAAGCAGATATATTTAGAGTTTTATATTAAGCTACTGAACCAGAAATACCAGATACAGAAGTATAAGAGCAGACTGGTATATACTATAGTAGTACTAGGCCGGTCGGAGTATAGATAATATAACCCTGAGAGCTACCCCCCTATTTTATCATGGGTAATCAAAGTCGTCTGCTTTATAATTGTCCAGAAGGCGTTGTGGCTGGATCTCTATATTAATCAGATCATCCGGGCATGAGGGCAGGCAGGCAGCTATACTGACTAGCTACTGAATAATACTACTATAATGAATGATTTTAATAAGGAGATTAATATTAAGAACCATACTCTAGCTAAACTAGGGTTTTAGTTATTCCCTCCAACTTTATCCATGCAGAGCGGGGACGGACTACTCTAAATAAATATCTGACAGACCCAGAAGATACAGAAATTATTCTAAGAGCAGGTAGAATAGATAATCTAGTAGCTAATAGTATATAGATACCACATACTAATAAAAATACTACAGGATTAGTGGATATATGAGCTGAAGATCTATTATAATACTACTGCCCCTGGATATATAATATAGATGGGTAAGAATCAGCTACTATATAAGTATATTAACTTCAGCATAGGATAGTTCTGGGGGTTTATCCACAGACTAGCTGAGACAGTACAGCAGATTTTACAGGATAAATTATTATTCTAGTAGATACCTGAGATCCTGTAGTAGCAGCTATACAACAATCCTACACAGCAGACAGTGGGATGGAATTTTTTGCAGGACATACAGATACAGTAGCCAGTAGACAGATAATAATAGTTGATTAAGTAGATACAGACAGAATCTATAGTACAGGAATAATTTATATACTAACAGCAGCTGAACTGGATATAGACTAAACTAGTCTACTAATATTTCTATACTATAACCCAGTTCAAAGAAAAACTAGTAGTATTAATCTATATTACTAGTAGTTAGTCTAGATATATCTCTGAATTATTAAGCTTATAGTATACTAACACCAAGCAGAACCAGCAGTAGAGTGTATTTATTAATAATAGGCTGATAGCAGTAGTATTAATATACTATAAAGAATTTTATACCAGTAATAATATTAAGATAATCTACTGGTATATTTCTTAGGAGATTAGTAAGCTGTTAGTATAGTATTTATAATTAGTATTACTATTTATTCAGCAACTTAAGATGTGGCTTATCTACTTAGGTAAATCTATACACAGTTCTAATACCCCCCCTAGTATATTAGGATTTAGCCTATCCTACTACAAGACCCCAACCAGCTGTACTGCTATATTAGGGTTTACTATATTAGTATTAGTATAGGGCTCCGATCCCGGCAGTCAGCAGAAGTGAATATTAGAGTGATTCCAGGAGGTATTAAAGTAGAAGATATAGATATAGTTATATCACAGTATTAATATTTAGTAATACTAGGATATTACTATTAGAATCAGCTAGTGGTTTATACAGCCCAGCAGTACATTTATCTATAACCAGTAGGAGGAGCAGGATATTATATAGACTACATTAGACACTGATTTAGAGAAGGGGTTAGATAAGAATAGATAATAGAAGTATATTATAGATTTATAAGTAGTATATTCATCGCATGTAGTGGGGATGGTGTACAGACGGGGTATTATAGAGCAAGCCGGGACAACCATGTACTAGTAGCAGATATTCTGTATTTCCAGTATAGATTAATACTGGTTTTTAGAATTTAGTAAGAAAATATTTAGTTCCAACACAACACCCCCCACAGCCCTATAGGAGGAGGCTGTAATAGAAAGCTAGATAGTCCAGTAGTAGTAGCTCTATACAGTAGATAGATATACTAGTAGTATTATAGAAGATAATAGAATAGAATATACAGTTATACAGAGTACAGCAGCCCGTATTATAGATAATCCAGAACAGAGACAGCCCAGTGGTAGTAGTAATACTAACTAGGGGTAGAAAAAGCATATTATTTATACTATCTATATTTACCGCGCCCGGGGGATTAATAGTAGTAGTAGTTCTATTAATTATATTATAATCTAATCTATAGTAGCGGTGCCGGGAGCTGGGTATCTAATATATAGTATAGAAGAGCTGGCGGCCCCCAGATAAGATATTAATTATACTAGTAATACCTAAATCAGTAGTAAACAAGGATTTCTAGTTATTTTTAAACTAGATATAATTAATACAGCAGCTAGACCAGATTATAATTAATAAATACTATATAGTACTATACAACGACCCCCAGTTCTAGCTGGATTTACAGTGGCTGGGGTGGTTAAACTAGATACAGATATAGATAGTATTATTAACAGCAACGCTGTCCCCCAGCTTAGAAGATAAGCTATTCCAGTAGATAGGATATCTATATAAGACAGTACAGATATTCTATAAGTACAGTAGCCAGGCTAATATTATATACCAGGTATAACAGCTGGAATTAGGGTTTAGTAACTAAGCAGCCAGCCTAGTAGTAATCTAGTTTATCTAGGATTAGATCCAGTAGATAGAGAGCAAGATAGTAATTTATAGTACTACTAAGATATTAGTATAGTAGCTGGTATAATAACTTAGCTATAAGATATTTTAGAGCGAATAGATAGACAAGACTAGGATATTATAGTAGTTTATAGATAGAGGAAAGATAATTACTATAATTAGTATATTAGATATAGAGGTAGATATTCCTAATATCTATAGTATAATCTATATAGAAGTACCGCGGTTGTTGCTAGATTATGCGCAGGAGAGTGGATAGGCAGAGTAGAATAGATAAACTAGTAAGATAATTATTATTCAGCCAACAGGGTTATTTCAGCTGGGACTGGATAGAGAGATGGCACGATATATAGAGATAGTAGCTGGGATAGATTACTAGTAATATATATTAGATAGATACCTGGACAGGATGGTAGATAGATACATATACTAGTATTATCAGGATGTGGATATCTGTAAGTAGGCATGTAATAAATACAATATTAACTAAATAGAATCCCTAGTAGTTATTAAGGTAGTTACTACTGATTATAAAGAATCATCTATATTAATTCTATTAAATTATTTAGTAGTTTATCCCCCCACGGGTTCCCCGGTAGTTCTAGTCACAGAACAGTAGTAATAATAGTAACAGGAATAATAGTATAGTACACTATTATAATTACAGTAGTAGAGAGCAGAGCAGATATTTTTATACTATAAATTCATCTAGACAGAAGCCCCCCAGTAGTAGTAGGTTTGTTATATTTATATAATAGATAAATATATATAGAATAAGTATAATTTATATTATTACCAGGCGGCGGGCAGCCAGGCAGTATAGAAGTGGATACTAGTAGTACAGTAGTAGATTTAGTATATATAATTTAGTATATATTTCCAGTGTGGGATACTACTAGATATATATTTAGAGTGGTAGGATGGGAGCAGAGGGGATTATATATACTAGAATATTTTAATCCTAATAATAGCAGGGATATTGTATGGACTGTGGGTGGGGGAGATGCAGGCGCTATGGTATAAATAACTCTAGGAATTTAGAGTAGATAGTAGGAATTTTAGATAGATAGTTTAGTTTTTAGGACAAGGGGTAGATTCAGTAGATAGATAGTATAGTTATTTATTTAAGTTATTTTAGTAGCTATAATAGATTTATATAGAGCTAAAAAACTAAGGTGATTATTAAATAAATTTAAATTAATAATAAAATTAAGATTATAGTAGACTGGTTTAGCCGATAACAGTAGTACTAATCAGAATCAGATTTATTATTTTTTTATATTTATAACCATGGATTTCAGCAAGTTAAAGTAGTTAAGCAGGTTACACAGATTATATAGGTTATATAGATTAAGTAGGTTGAGCAGGTCCAATAGATGCAGCAGGTCCGATAGATATAGCAGATCCGACAGATGCAGCAGATCAGGCAGGTAGAGTAGGTCCAACAGGTGCAGCAGGTCCGACAGATATAGCAAATTAGGCAGGTAGAGTAGGTCCAATAGGTTAAGTAGATCCGACAGATATAGCAGGTCAGGCAGGTAGAGTGGGTCCAACAGGTTAAGTAGGTCCGACAAGAATTTTGATAGGTCAGACCGGTGAAGAAGATTCCATACATAAAGTAGATATAAGTAATTTCCACATTAGGATTATCCAT